AGCCCCTTCAGGGAGGGGCAGGACAATGTGACAGGAGGGACAGGAACAGGGCTAGGGACAGGCTGGGTGGCTCTGTTCTTTCTAGAACAATGGCCGGAAAGGCGGTGGGGGAGAGGCTCAGAGTGACCGGGCTGGGGACCTTGGCAGGAGGGTGGAGGGTCCTGGCTCCCGGCAGTGGCTCCAGGCACTTCCGCTGCTTCACTGCCTTCTTCCTGGGCCTGGCTCTGAGGGTGGAAGGGTCACTCCTGATTTAGGCTCTCGGGCAGAGGATGTGAGCTCAGCTGGCCGCCCCAGCCCACTCTGTTTCTTCTGGCCAAAGAAGGAGACTGTTCAGAAAAGGGTGGGGGAGGGACGGGGCCAGCGCACCTGCACCCCTTTCCTCCCAGCCACCTGCACCCTACAAGGGACCTGGGGGGTGGGGCAGGAATGTCAGCCAGATAGCAAATGGAGGAGGCTGAGGGAACACCTCCCGCCCTCTGCTCTCTCTTTAGATACCCATAAAACTCCAGCTATCTCCGCAGGAGAGAAAACGGGGGTCCTGACACCTCCTTCCCTGCGGTTCCCTGTGCTCTCTGTGGTATGCAGCAGGAGTCTCCAGGCCCTCTTCTGAGACCTACAGTAGACTCACCTGGAGAACTTTCCAATTTGCAGAGCCCCAGGCCCCCTCTGATGAGTCTAATTTGGGGGGGTGAGTCCAAGGAATCTGCACTTTTTTTTGAGTAGGAGTCTCACGCTGTCACCCAGGCTAGAGTGCAGTGGCACGCTCACTGCCACCGCAGTCTTGACCTGCTGGACTCAGGCAATCCTTCTGCCTCAGCCTTCCAAGTAACTAGAACCACAGATGTGTGCCACCATGCCCGGCTAATTTTTTGATTTACTGTAGAGATGAGGTCTCGCCAAGTTGCCCAGGCTGGTCGCGAGCCTGTGGACTCAGGCAACCCTCTCACCTCCACCTCCCAAAATGCTGGGGTTACAGACACGAGGCACCACGCCTGGCTAATAATCTGCTCTTTTGATATAAGCACTAGGCTGGTGCTGTGGCAGCATCTGTAGTCCCAGTTACTCAGGAAGCGGAGGTGGGAGGATCATTTGAGCCCACGAATTCAAGGCTGGGCAACATAGCAAGATGCCATCTCTTAAAAAATAAAAAATTGGGCCGGGCACAGTGGCTCACACTTATAATCCCAGCACTTTGGGAGGCCGAGGTGAGTAGACTGCCTGAGCCCATGGGTTCGAGACCCGCCCAGGTAACTTGGCGAGACCTCATCTCTACAATAAATAAAAAATTAGCTGGGCATGGTGGTGCGTGCCTATAGTTCCAGCTACTTGGAGAGCTGAGGTGGAAGGATTGCCTGAGGCCAGCAGGTAGAAACTATGGCGGCCGTGAGCCTGCCACTGCTCTCCAGCCTGGGTGACAGAGTGACCTCAAATTAAAAAAAAAAAAAAAAAAAACGTAAATAAATAACTGAACAATCCCTAGGCAATTATGACGGACAGGGGACAGGACACAATTTTGCCTGGATCTGCTACACAACAGCTGTGTGACCTTGGGCAAGTCATTAACCTTCTCTGAGTGTCACCTCCCTTGTCTGTAGAACAGATATAAAAACACCTATCTCACAGGGAAGTGAGGCGATTATAATATTTCATAAACTCTAAGGTTTGCCAATGTCACCTCATGATCTCGCTTTTGTCACCGGTTTCTCAGAGGACTAGGAGGGGAGGCACAGTGCCGGGGCCTCACAAGGGGTCCCAGTCCTCGGCCCCACACTGGGCCTGTGTCTGCACCTGCATCCTTTGCTGGGAGAATTATCCCCTTTGGGGCTGAGGGAAGAGACCCCTTTCCCCCAGTGTCTCCCACTGGGTACCGGAGACCTGCTAGGAGCCTGGCTGTGACCTTCCTGCCACCAGTCTCCAGACCTCTCACACCTGCCCCCATGAGGGCCTCATTTTGAGGCTCCAGGGCTGTGAGGTCAGCAGCGGCTTGACCGAGGCATGACTGGGCAGGTTGCCAAAAACAACAAGGAGGTGATGGGGGTGGGGTGGGCAGTGGCTCCCACTCTTGGTCTCAGGGCCCTCCCCTAGGCTCCAACCTGTATCCACCTCCCCAGGGCACAGAGACCACCCCCATAGCTCCAGCTCTCATGCCCTTGGGTCTACCACCCTGGTGTGCCCACGTGGGTGCACGAGGTTGAAATCCTTCTTGTGGGAACTCCACACCCCTATGCGTGGTGGGGAATAAGTGGTCTCCAGGTAGCTTTGGGGACTCTGTGTATAGGACCCAGGTGTGTCTTGAAGCTGGAGCCCCAACACTGCAGAGGCGGTCCTCCCATCCATGGAACTCCTCCCCCAGCCTCAGTCTAGTGGCAGGAACCACCTCCTACCCCTGCTGCTCTGCAATCTCAAGGTGACAAGTCCAGTGGCCTCCTAGCACAGCCCAAAGAGCTCTCCCTGAAGCCCAGAGGTCTGTTTTCCTTGGGGGACTCACCACAGAGGTACTCAAGAGATGGGATTCAGGTGTGGTCACCTGTGCATTGAGCACCCCCCAGCCCTGTCAGGACTGGAGTCCTCAGGTTGTGTGGAAACCTCTAAAAAATTAGATTTGACTACCCAGGCTTAGGGAACACAGGCAGAAAAGTGTGGGGAAGAGGGCTTTGGCAAGTGATCACGCAGAACTTTCTTACAGACATCCACATTCAGTTAAAACAAAAACTCAGCAATGCTGTAGTTAAAGTTTGTTAAAGTGTGTGCGTACGGGGATGAAGTTTTATCTATTCAGTCTTTCCCAACCCGCTGCCAAAAACCCCATGGCTCCAAAGAACACACCCAAAAAACCACCTGCTAGAAGGCAGCTCAGGAGGACAGGAATTTTGGTCTGTTGCGTTCACTGCTATAGCCCAGTGCTTAGAACAGAGCATGGCACAAAATAGCCACTCAGTAAAAATGCAAAGGAGGCTAGTACAGTGGCTCACGCCTGTTGTCCTAGCACTTTAGGAGGCTGAAGCAGGATTGCTTGAGTCCAAGAGTCTGAGACCAACCAGGGCCGCATAGTGAGACCACATCTCTATTTTTTTAAAAAAAGGTGAATGGACGTACTTCAACCCTTTCATCTTACAGGCAAGGAAACAGTAGCCAAAGAAGGTAAATGCCAGCCGGGCTCTGTGGCTCAGCCTGTAATCCCACACCTTTGGGAGGCTGAGGTGAAGTGGATTACCTGAGCCCGCGGGTTCGAGACCCGCCTGGGCAACTTGGCGAGACCTCATCTCTATAATAAATCAAAAATTAGCCGGGCGTGGTAGTACACGCCTGTAGTTCCAGCTACTCGGAAGGCTGAGGCGGAAAGATCGCCGGAGCCCAGCACATTGAGGCTGCAGTGGCCAGGAGCGGTCACTGTACTGCACTCCAGTCTGGGCAACAGAGTGAGACTCCAACTCAAAAAAAAAAAAAGAAGGTAAGTGCCTTGCCTAAGGACACAACTTTTTCTCTGGCTCTCCCACACACAGGCACTTCTTGTCTAGAACAAGACAGTCCTCCCTCCTCAATTATGCAAATCAGTGACCACCTCCCCCCAGCCCTGTGGCCTCAGCACAGGCTGGCTGACCTCAGCTGGATGGTCACTTCACACGTACTCACTTGTCTTTGCGGCCTTGACCTTCGCCACCAGTTTCTGCACGCCGGTCACATCTCCATTTTTGACGGCAAGAATCAGGTCCTGTTCACGACCCATCCTGGCCCCTGGGCCAGGCTCTGGGCTCAGGAGTCCAGGGCAAAGGCAAGCAAACTGGACCAAGCCGAGGCGTCAGGGCACCATGCCTCAGTCCTTTGGGAGGCTCCTAGTCCTGCAGAAGCACGTCTGGTGTCCCAGGCAGTGGGTTCCTCCTTGTCGGGGGCTGATGGGTACTTCCTCAAGGTGCTCGGTGAGCTGCCACCACAAGCAAGAAAGCCAGTCTCTGAGTGGGCGGAGGCTACGTGGAAATCTGGACGGATATCAGCTTGCAGCTTCCAACGGCTCCGGGATGGGCCAGGACTGGGCACGCCAATCTTCCCGGCCTAGCTGGGGAGCACCAATGCCCACCCAGAGAGCAGCCAGCATTCCCTTGGGCCTCAGGCAGCAGCGATGGGCGGGTCTCAGGGGTCTGGAAAAGGCACAGTGCCTCTGTCAATGGCTGGGTCACAGCCTGCAGAGGTCCCAGAAGCAGGGCGCAGAGGACGAGCAGGACAGGACCTCCGGGGTGCCCCCAAACCACCCTGACTGCCACTCAGAGTCAATGGAGTGTCTGAGCCACTCGAAAGGAGGAGGAAGCCGCCAGGCATGAGAGGAGTATGTGGAGGGGGGAGGTGGCATTCTGGGAGGGGGAGGCTGAGTCACTGGGGCCCCAGGGCACCTGGCAGCACCTCGACCTTCAGCAGGAGGGGCCCTGGCAGCACGACATACTGGGGCAGGCTGGGCCAGCAGCCTGTTCTCCACAGCCCGAGGCTCTGACACCCACAGACAAGTGGCAGGCCAGGGGGTGGGGCAGGGAGGGTCAGGCACAGGCAGGCGAGCAGGGGTCACTCCCTGTCAAAGGCGCCTGCCCCTAGACACCTCCCCAGGTCTTACTCTAATAGCTGCATGCCCTAGCCCTCGTGCACTTTATGAACTGAGGGCAGGGGGAGCCTACAGCCCCGCACTTCTGGGGAGGGGTCTGCCTAGTGGAGAGGGAAGCGTCATAAACGGCACCTGTTGCTGACCCCCCCTCACCCCTGGTGTGGGGTGGAGGAGCAGCTGGGCAGAGAGCAGAGCAGGGGCACTGGTGACAAACGGGGCTCCCAGGCCCCTCAAGCCTGAACCCGAAGCCCAGACCCTCAACTCACTGCTGGAAAGCTTACGTCAGTCTCTCAGTGGCGGCGAACGTGTTGCCAGAGTCCTGTGGCATGAGACCCGCGCAGGCCTGGGGCCCAGGCTGGGAACCCCTCACTCCTCAAACGTCCCGAGCCCAAGCCAGAGGGCACTCCCACTCATGGCCCGCGGCCGACCCTGGGGGAGGGTGCCCCTGGGCAGTGCCTGGGGTCGGGCTGGCTCCCCCGCCCCCCGGAATGCCCCTCCGGCGCCGCGCAAGCCCCGCTCAGCCCAGCCCAGCCCCGGGAACAAAGCGGCGGGAGGAAGCAGGAGGGCCGAGCGCCGGAGACACAGATGCGGAGGATGGAAAAAGGGGACGCGAGGAGGACGGAAGGCGCGGAGAGATGGAGGCGCCCGCCGAGCCCGCAAGAAAAGTTAGTTTGTGCCCGCCCCCAAGGGTGCTGACTCCAGCCCAGGCCCCGCGGTCTCACCTCTCCCGGCCGCCCCGCCGCGGGTCCGGCCGGCCGTGCTCGGCCCCCGGCAACCTGGACGGTGGCTCCCACTGCCCCCCACCCCCTTTCTCCTCCT